ATTTTCTATTCGGTGACGTGTTATTCAGCATTTCCACATCCTAACCCAGTATGTGGGGCCATGGGTTCTGGGACTTTTAGATCTGGGCGCTTTCTTTCCTCTTTGTGGTCTCACTCTGTGTTTAAAATCCCTGCTTTTTCTCAGTAATTTAATGAGCTTTGGCGTTATTGCCCTGATGGTGCTTTTTGTGTTGCTTACATCTTTAGTTTCTTTCTGGGAACTGTGACACATGGGAAATGACGGTGGTTGAAGTTTGCTCATATTAAACAAACCCAGTCTGGTTCTCCTCACCCCCCAAATAAATGCCTGCTTTCAGCGGTAGAGTGAAACATTGCAACCTTTGGAAAAACTAATTCTTTGGGGGCTGAAGATGATCTCCACTGATCCACTTCCGTCTTGCAGGGATTCAGGAAATTAATTAAATCGAAAAAGATTACATCAGCGTGCGTGGATGTGTTTAGAGAACACTGTATAGAAAACTCCATATTAACCATATTAACCCTATGAGAGATGTGCGGTGTGGGTTAAAGAAGAATTTAAGGTGGAAGATGATAACAGAAGAAGTTGGGACAGAACCAATCGGCTGCTTCTGTGTTTTTAATACATAAAGCTGGAACCAACATACAGCATCCCCGACTACCTTTACCAAAAAAGACCTCAAACCCAGCCTATACCCAAAGGTATGAATCCTAACACAGACTCATCAGTCAGCACTTTTGACTCTTGCCCCACTGTATGCAAGTCAGCGTTTTCACAGACTGATTGATACAGGTTATTCAAAGATAAGACTAAACTGCAAAGTTGTTTGAATCAAATAATCACTGATTTGTTTTACTTGACGACGTTAAATATAAAATTTTGCTTTAATATCAATAATCACTATTAAAAACTTGAGGAACTCCGGCCGAATCTCATCCACCCCGGCTCTGGATGTGGGGCTGCAATGGCTAACGCGACTCTGCAACATCACGTAGACATCAGGGGCAGTTCCGCTGGACTGGCAGACTGGGGTGGTGGTCCCCCTACTTAAAAAGGGTGACCGAAGGGTGTGTTCCAACTATAGGGGAATCACACTCTCAAGCCTCCCTGGAAAGGTCTATTCAGTGGTTATGGAGAGGAGGGTCCGTCGGATAGTCGAGTCTCGGATCGAGGAGGAGCAGGGTGGTTTTCGTCCTGGCCGTGGAACACTGGACCAGCTCTATACCCTCAGCGGGGTCCTAGAGGGTGCATGGGAGTTCGCTCAACCAGTCCACATGTGTTTTGTGGACTTGGAGAAGGCGTTCGACCGTGTCCCTCGGGGTATCCTGTGGGGGGTGCTCCGGGAGTATCGGGTACCCTTTGTTAAGGGCTGCTCGATCCCTGTACGACCGGAGTCAGACCTTGGTATGCATTGCCGGTAGTAAGTTGGATCCGTTTCCGGTGGGAGGTGGACTCCGCCAAGCTTGCCCTCTGTCTCCGGTTCTGTCCATAACTTTTATGGACAGGATATCTATGCACAGCCGGGATGTCGGGGGGGGCATTCTTGGTGGCCTTAGGATCGCATCTCTGCTTTTTGCAGATGATGCGGTCCTGTTGGCTTCATCAAGTCGGGACCTACAGCTCTCACTGGAGCGGTTCGCAGCCGAAGCGGCTGGGATGAGGATCAGTGCTTCCAAGTCCGAGACCATGGTCTCTCACTGGAAAAGGTTGAGAGACTTCCCCTCTGACTCTTCTCCGGGTCAGGGGGGACGTCCTTCCCCAAGTGGAAGACTTCAAGTGCCTCGGGGTCTTGTTTGCGAATGGGGGTAGGGACCATGAGATCGACCGGCGGATCAGTGCGGCGTCTGCAGTAATGCGGGCGCTGTACCGGTCTGTCGTGATGAAGAGAGAGCTGAGCTTAAAGGCGAAGCTCTCAATTTACCAGTCGATCTACGTTCCCATCCTCGTCTATGGTCACGAACTTTGGGTAGTGACCGAAAGAACGAGATCCCGGATACAAGCGGCCGAAATGAGTTTCCTCCGCAGGGTCGCTGGGCTCTCCCTTAGAGATAGGGTGAGAAGCTCAGCCATCCGGGAGGGGCTCAGAGTTGAGAGGGGCCAGTTGAGGTGGCTCGGGCATCTGATTAAGATGGTAACTTCCCTGGTGAGGTGTTCCGGGCACGTCCCAGCGGGAGAAGGCCCAGAGGAAGACCAAGGACACGCTGGAGGGACTATGTGTCCCGGCTGGCCTGGGAACGCCTCGGGATCCCCCCGGAGGAGCTGGCAGTTGTGGCAGGGGAGAGGGAAGTCTGGGTTTCCCTGCTTTGGCTGCTTCCCCCGCGACCCGACCCCGGATAAGCGGTGGAGAATGGATGGACGGACTATTACAAACTCAAAAGCTAAGATTGTATGTGAAGACTGAAATTTCTGACACAAAACAAGGAAAGTAAAAATGAGTAAAAAAAGAAGAAAAGACAACGTCTATAATTCTTCTGTTATATTTTTGCAGAATAGAGAAACTTTACAGATGTCTGGATGTTTCTTTCATTTTGAGCCCATTCATGAATGGATTGAACAACGGATGAAACACAACTGTTTGTAGTGTCATTAGTAGTCGTGCAGTCTGTGAAAAATCTGACTCCACTCGAGCTATGATCACATCATTAGCCATCAAACAGGTAAGCAGTTTTCAAAAGCTTTTATCCTGAATGCCTTACAGTTTTGAAAGGATACGATGAATATCTTCGAGTAGGTAAAAAACATGAAGATTGCAAGAAGTATTACAAGATCTAATAAAGCAACAACACCAAATACAGTCAGAGCTCTGGGCCTTTCACACTGAAGCTTGTACATGACGTTGTTGCAGAATATTCCTTTTAAATCAGAGTCACATAATTTGGCCTGAGCACTCAGGATTGCCTGCACTACGATGTGACAAGCAGGTATAAACCATGCCAGAACCAGGAGAAAAGCCACGGTGGTTTTTCCCATTATAGTCGGATAGCTCAGAGGTTTCCCAGTTGTTGACCTCACCAAAATCACCTGAAAAAGTTACAAATAAACTATCCAACATAACTGGTTGATGTTATTTTTTGGTGGACAAAAACAGTCCCTTTAAATGCTTGGAAATTTCTTTCATTTTCAGTCCATACATGAAGGGATTAAAGAGAGGATGGTACAGAATTATCTGTAGTGTCATCACAAATCGAGCTATTTGTGGAAGATCCGACTCCACTCGAGCTATAATCACATCGTATGAAGTAAAAAGTGTGAAGCCGCCTAAAACCAAGAGGTGAGGTAAACAGGTCTCAAAAGCCTTTCTCCTGAATTCGTTACAACTTTGATAAGATATTATAAATATTTTTGTGTAAGTAAAAACTGTGAAAAGCACAGGAAGGATTCCAACATCCAATAAAGTAACAACACCAAATGCAGTCAGAAGTTTTGATCTTTCACACAGCAAACCGTAAACTGAATTATTACAAAAGATTCCTTTTAAACTGAGGCTACATAACTTAGCCTGAGCACACAGGATTGTCTGAACTGCAATATGACAAGCAGGTAGAACCCACGACAGAACAAGAAAAGTAGTCACAGTGTTTTTTCCCATTAGTGTGGGATATCTCAGAGGTTTACATATTGACACATATCTGTCATAAGCCATGGCTCCTAACAGTAAGTATTCTGAACCACCAACAGAGTAAAACATGAAAAATTGGAAGAGGCAGGCAGAGTATGAGATGACCTGTTTCTTAGATAAAAAGTCAATCAGGAGCTTTGGATAAACAA